AACCGCACATTCACTTCAAAATCATCGCCGTTGTGCTTTTGTGCCCTATGCGTACCTAGAGAAGTGTTTAGACGGATTTTAGCTTTTCCATCTAAATGTTCTTTTATGCGGACACGAAGTGGTCTACCCGTTCCCCAATATATTCCTCGCCGCATTCGTTACATGAGATCAAGTATATTATACCTAAACTCACGCATCCCCGTCTCTCCCGTTAGGACAGATCATACAGCTTTCTGAGCTGCACAAACGATCATAGAGACGGTTTCGAACTAACTGACAGCGTAGGGTATTGGGTGTGATGTCAATAATCGTTACATAATTTTCAAGACCACTTTTTCTTAAGCACTTTTTAATGGCGTGACTTACTTCATTTGATATGAAGGGCAGCTTAAAAGGGATCCTACTTTTATCTGGAATATTATTTTGGAAAACTACCCAATGTCTTCCTCTAACCCGAGTGGCTTCTACTTCGTAGCCATTGGAAATGGCAATTTTTCGTTCCAGGTTTTGCGATTCCTTCCTTTCCTCTTTTCCTGTACACACATTTTTACCCGTACGGTACATGTTTTTGATAAGTGCTTTTTTCATTTGTGAAGGATGAGAGAAGAGGTAGTGAACTAGGATGTTTTTACTCTTTGGCTTGCGATACCATTTTGTTATATAGCCACTTACTGAGAGCTTTATTTGGATGTTTAAAAATGGAAGCCAGTTCTCGGTTGGTTTTTCTCTTGTAAATTTTATATACTCTGCCTGTCGGTCTAACATTTCGAAGCGCTCATCCATCTGTTCTTGTCTGGAAAGACAATGAAGCAGTCGTCTATGTATCGGCAGTAGAGTAAGGGTCGGTGATCGAGAACTTGAGCTTCCACCTTAGACATGAAAGCGATGGCAAGGCTTGGTGCTAAACGCTGCCCCATGGCGAACCCTTTAATTTGTGCAAAATATTTCCCAGAACACCTAAAGATTGACCAACTAAGACACTGTTTTAAGAGAGTCATTTGTTGTGCAATCGACAAGCCGTGCATTTTTTTAATGCTCTACGAGCAACTCGAGAATGGCTTGCATTGCGGAGTCATTGGACACGTTGGTATAAAGTGACGTAACATCGAATGACACCATTACATGCGTGCTGTTTGGTTGCGCGCCGTAGGTGGTCTAGAAATGTTTTGATGCTAGGTAGATGGATTGGAATGAATTTTAGCAGTTGGATTAGGATAAGATTTAGGAAGCACGTTATTCTATCCGTTGGTGCGCCTATAGAACCCATGATAGGTCTAACTTTATATGATTGGTTCGTTGATGTAATATCATCAGTTGAAGTAAGCGTATGTGTTTCAATAAGCAAGTAAAGTACAGGGTAAATCGGATGTTCGTTTCGGACAACGACAACGACGACGAAAACCTGTATCAACCTCGCGTCAGCTTAAGAAGATCAGTTTATAAGAGGTCTCAGATAAATGTGTGTATTCGTTGTAGGTACTGAGCGTTACCCACTCCACTGCGATTTAAGCTGCTTAAAATGAACCAGTATTTTAGCATCCTGGGTCTAGTCTTCCTAGCCAACGCTGCGCAATCGTGGGTTTTTTCGGAATTAGGAGAATAAGGCCCGTTTGTTATATTGTGTTTAGCTTTTTGATACCCACATATAGCTTGCTGGGCTCTGAACGTGGAGGCTGGGTAAACTCACGGGTAGCTTACCAGTCTCTCCCATAGTGGACATAGAGCTTATTTTTTGGAGGCCACTCCTAACTGCCTCCCATATAATCTTAACCTTTTTATTTACTGCCTATTATTTTTAACGCCAGGGTATTTTGCTAATTATAACTGCTATAATGCTGAGATATTTGCAAAACCGGACCGCAGGTGAAAATAAAAAGGTTAAGATTGTGATTATAACTATAGCCTCAGCTTAACTGGGTTCAACGCCGACTTGGGCTCCCCAGATCAATCCCGTTGACGGGTGATTGCTGATGGCAAAAGATCGATAGAACAAGCTGAGAGACAAGTGAAACGAAGGATCCGCATTGTGTGGTGGTGAACGCGTTACACCCCGGAAAGGACAATAGCGCGTTCGTTCCCCACCGCAGACACCGCCTCCCATATACTTCCTTGTCACTTGATTGCAGGCTTGTTGCCGAACTGACTCGTAGAATACAATCCACATAGGCGAAACGTCTCTCATATACAAAAAGTACATGCCAAATCGGGCCAGCAGAATTCCGTCGGCGATTTACCTCCTATCCGCCACCCGAGGACGCGCTATGTAGCCTCGAGAATAACAGGCTCGAGATCCCTCACATGAGGGGCCTCCGTGGTAGTTGTATCATATATAGTGCCCTTCCGTAAAAATTGTATTAAGCAATAAATAAAAGTCAGTATTATCACTTCGACTACAACATCAGCTTAACTAGGTTCATTGCCGATTTGGGATCCCCACAGCAATCCCGTTGACGAGTAGTTACTGATGCCACTGTTAGATAGAAAACTAGTTGAGAGACAGGCGAAATGAAGGACCTGTATGATGTGGTGGTGAACGCGTTACTCGCTGGAAAGGGTAACAGCGTATTCGTTACCCTCCGCAGACACCTGCGGTTCGAAGTTTTGCAAATATCTCACCATCATTGTGGTGGTTCGTGCTCTCGATGTGATGTCTTCGCCGTCGTATCGAGTCCGACCTTCTTTAGTGGTGCACCGAATGCGGCAACCTCAACGGGCGGCACTCTTTTATGCAGGATATCTCTTATACAGCAAAGAAAAGAAAGGCAAAACAGTACCTCCGACTTACCAACGGTCTGTGTCTTAACCAACTTTAAGGTGAGCCTGGGAATCGCTAGAGACTCACATAGACAATCGAACTAGTTTTAAATGCCGTTTAATACAATTTGTTGTGACAGAAAGTAGTTTTTCGCAAAATGGGCTAATGAAACTCCTGTAGTGGAGAGTCATCGATTTAATACAAACCCGGAAAATATTACTTGGTAGAAATGGCTACCCGTGCGGGACTTATATATCTCCAATTGCTTTGAAGGTGTTAAGGGTAGAACAAAATAGATAAAGTTCACAAAGTCTAAATAGAGCTCTTTATCGCTATTGCAGGGTTTCACGGTTTCGTGGCCAATGTTGGACGAAGGCAAGTGGCGAGCCAAAGATTTCAACTTGACGACACTTCTTATCGACGTCTTTAAGTGTAGGAAAGTCAGAGTGTTCATCAGCATCTCTGTCACTATCGACAGGAAAAACGTCTCACGAAGACTGATCAAGGTAAATCTTTCTAAATGAAGCGACTCCACATATTACGAGCGGTCCAGTACTTCTTTCATTTTGTTTGTTGTCTCGCTTTCGTAACGTATTATCGTTGAATGCCGGTCAAGAAGATTTTGTCTGGAATATCGGAAGAGATGTGCTAGTATGTTCGTAGGTCTTTACCACAGGTAATCGCGAGACCTTGAGAAAAAAGTTTTTTCCAGACATCTATTTAAGCAGTTTATAGGTCCAAGAGAGAGTGGAAACTTGCTGGACTTTGAGTGGGTCGGAGCAGCGACCATTATTCTACCATTGTGTGTCATCTTTAACTACTGCTCCTCCTTACCACATAATTAAAGTAGTAAAATTTTTCTTATCCATTTCCTGGAAACTTACATTTAATTGAGACACATTGTCTAGTCTAACATTTCCCGAGGGTGTTTATTGCTTCAGGGTTTTCGCATTGTTTCATACTGAGTTTAACCAATGTGCACACGTTTGCCGATGTGATAAAACTCAGATAAAGGCATGTCAGATGGTCGCGATTTTCTTGCCCTGAGATGTCACTGTTTCTTTGCCGAGAACCATTTTCAATAATCGAAGACTGATAGTTGATCAGTAAGCAGTGATTCCAACAGAGTAACCTGGAGTGTGATACGCTTAGTGCAGTTACAAACAAAACCTATTTTTGATGGAAATAATACCTTATTAAACGACAGCGCTAGCGTGTTGGGGAGTAACACATAAGAAGGTATTGGAAGGAGATGGAGCAGAAATTACAGCAGCGTTGTCAATGTCACCCTTGCACTCGCAAGCAATTAAAAAAAGAATGCAGGTGCTTTTCATAGTGGAGTTCCATTTTAAAACGCAATATGTCCTTTCAGTTCGACCAAGGAGGCCTTGGATTGGGTGATTCGACTCGTGATTACTATTTCTACAAAGAACAACATAGGAGGAAAATTTCTGCCTACAGAGAATTTCTCGTTAGTAAGGTTCGACTGCATTTATAAACGAGGATTCTTCATGGAGTCAAAATTTAAAGGATATGTTAACTCTTTTATTTACTGCCTTTTTCTTCTTAATGGCAGGGTATGTTGTGAAATATAATTCGTATGAAATGCTGAGATATTTGCAAAACTCCAGACCACAGGTGTATGCAATGGAGAACGAACACGCGCTGTTGTCCTTACCGGGGAGCAGCGCACTTCACCACTACACCATCCGGGTCCTCTCCATTGCATGTATCTCAGCTAGTTCTGTCTATCTTTTTTGCCATCAGCAATCACCCGTCAACGGGATTGATCTGGCGAGCCAATATCGGAATTGAACCCAGTTAAGCTGAGGCCTCGATCTTAATCTTTAATTAATTAATCCATCACAATCTTAACTCTTTTATTTACTGCCTTTTTCTTCTTAATGGCAGGGTATGTTGTGGAATGAAAAAAAACTGAAAAACTAGAAAAAAAAGAAATGAAAAAAAAACTCCTATGAAATGCTGAGATATTTGCAAAACTTCGGACCACATAAAGGATATGATTTGAAAAACAAAAAGAACCCGGTAAATTGAATGCTTTTGAGGTAAAACTCTTCCATGAAGACGCCAACGTTGCTGTAAATAGAGAAAAAATTGCAAGCGATGTTGATGAGATCATCGAATTGGAAACACGACTGGCGCGAATACAGGAAGACAAGGCTCATCGAACGGATTTCAGCAAAACATACAATCTGAAACGCCTCAGTGATATGCAGACACTGATGCCTTTGGTGAGTATTTCAGCTATCACAAATATAACACTCAAATGATGGGAGACACTATTTCTTCAAAACAGTGTTGTTTACAACTACGACAAGTTAGGTATTTCTTGCTTATTGATCCTAGAAATTTAATCTGTTATGAAATGATACCTTCTTGGTAGTGTTTAGGGATATCTCTTGGTGAAGGACTCATCCATATGTCTCATTACTTATAAGAGCAAAATAGTATGTGAAGCAAAGAGCAGAAAGGATTAAATAAGGTTTTTACCTAAGAGCGTTAAATAAGAGAACAAATGCTTTCAGGTGGACTGGGACAAATACTTTTATGCTATTACGCCACCCTCCATTCACAAATACCTAGCTGCTGATCCAGAAATACTTATAACAGAAATAGACTACATGAGAAGGTGCTACCGTTCCTGAAAAAACATTCTGACGTTACGACCCACATATTAATTTCAGAGTCACCGATCTGCTCAACTCGACGGATCCAAGGATTATCACCAACTATGTCTATATTCGCTATTCTTCTACTTGGAACGGCGAGCTTGGAGAGCGATATGAAAGAGCTGCTCAGGTTGATAGTAAACTGAAGCTCGTGAATTCTGTACATCTTAATTATGATGATTGTAGGATGGAGTTTATGAAGCAGAACTTACATTTACCTAAACTGAAGTCGCAGATCGAAAACTGTGTGGAAGTATGGGGTGTTAAAGATTTTATATGTCTAATCGGGTTTTAACCGTAATAACCTTATAGTGATGGGAAATTTCTTCGTGTGCACAACATAAGATCAAACTTGTTCAGTTTTTCAATTTTTTCGGAAAACTTAGAAAAATAAAAAAAATTATGGTTTATAGAAATTCAAATTTTTTTGTTCAACAAATAGTCTCAAATCAGAGGAGAAGGTTCCATCCCCTCACTGAACTTTTAGGAAAAACCTATTAGAAGCTTAAATATTACTCTTAAGTATTACCCTCTATGAAGCAATCGTGTGTATGCAAATTTGTTTTAAGCAGTTCCATCATCTCATGTACGGACGGAAAGAAAAAGCACCTCGGTGGAAAGACTGCGCAACCACGACTATGCTACGAATGCAATACGTTTCCGGTGCGCTGTACGTCAAGAATGCATTCAGTGAAGTGGGCTACAGATTCATTGGTTTTTCAATAGCTCCTTTATAAATGAAAACCTCGGCTATAATAGGAAAATTGAGTATCTTCATACGAAATGAATGGGACTGGTCAATTGTGTGGAATGTGGACTGGACATTAACCCTTATTCTCTTGCATTTTTCGGAACACTTGAATTAGAAGTTGAGAGTTTTGGGAAGCATCTTTTTTCAAAGGAAACGAAAAATGCGACGCTTGAAATGATCAACGATCTACAGGAAGCATTCCACGACATTTTGATCGAGAACGACTGGATTGACGACGTTACGAAGGCGGTTAGTGGAATACCTTTGCAGAATGAAGAGCAGTGAGTAAACTTACGTGCTATAGAAGGCCCTCGACAAAGCAAGGCATATGCTCCGACATATCGGCTATCCAGATTTCATTCTTGACGATAGGAAGCTGGACGAGTATTACAAAGGGGTGAGCTGAATTGAATGATTCCGTGCAAAAAAGTTTTTTTTAAACTGTTTCTTGCTCTTCCAAGGACTTTTGCTGTATTCTCGAGTAATTTGAAAATGTGGAAAAGAGATAGGCCGAGGGAATCATGTACAAGCTTTATAAGTCTAATTAAGCATATTTATTTCTTGAGCCTGCATCACCCCATCGCTACTTGAAATCAGGAAAACTGCCCATCTTCCATAGAATTTTTGGCAAATTTCTGGAAAGCGCGTGATTGCTATGCAGGTTTTGCCCGCAGAGGGCCACTTTGAATGCACACGCTTCCATTGATGAAACGAACTTCAATTACTTGATAAAATAGTCTGCCATATTTATTGGTTTTTGGGTCTCAACATAAATAAAGGAAAAGCTCAACGTTTAAAAGAGAGTTAATCTACAAGAATTTAATACTACGATATCAGCACTGTCAGATTATCATTGAAGCTGCAATAACATGAAATATTAAAATATAGATATATTTGACGATCTAGGCTTGTAAGCGTTAAATCTGTGGGAAGAAATAGATGCTATATATAATGGAGAATTCGGTTTACAACTTTACTAAAATGGGTGAAGAGCCGAGTGCTCCAAACAATATTGATCGTTTGATTTTAGCTGTCCATAGAAGAGTCGGATTCGTACAGCGAGATGGTGGGGAAGTTGACAAGATGGAGCATTGAGTTCAACTTTAAACGACTCTTAAAGCCCGTCGATCGGGCTGAATTCAATATCAATCCGGCGATCGTCAACGCCATGTACTCTACCAAGTCGAATTCTATCAGTAGGCAAACTTTGATTTTTACGATCCGCTAGTGAAACCCAGTGGATGTAAAGAAGCAGAAGCTGAAAACTTTATTGTAAATCTTCGTTCTATGGGAAAAATCATATTATGGCTAAGGAAGAGGGATGAAACTATTTCCACCCTGCTTTATCAACTAAAACTTTCTTTTGTTTTCGATTTTCATCTTTTCTCTTTCTAGCAGAGTTACATAGGAAACCCTGTCATTGACAGCTGTTTTCTAAGCCATCGTTGGGAATTTTAATCGTTTTCCTATTAACTAAGTTTATTCTATTAGCCTTTCTCTGCCCAGAATATTTTACGGCCCCTGCCTCATCTTTTGAACTAATTCGCAACCATATATGTTGATTTCTAAACGTGTGCTACCGAAAAGCACTTCTTTTTAAGATTTAGACAAATATCTTCATCCAAGTTTTCTTTTATTGAAGTGGAAAGCATTAAAATTATTATGTTTTTCCCCACACGATACAAGTCTTCTTGTTATGCTACAATTCAAATTTAGTCTTTTGGAGCTTAAAGACGTTTTTCTTCTGCTTTTTATCGTTGAGGTTCACATTCCGAGTAGAGAAGCGGTTGAATAAGTAAGATCTCGTCGAGTAGGACACGATGACATCCGCGAATGCGTCGGCATTGTATACCGCTGACGCAAGTGGTTTCAATTTTGCATACGTCTAGCGCAATGGATGGAGATTCCATTCAACATACGCAGTGTCGGCAGTGGTAGCTCGATGTGGCGTCCCAGGCATACCAAGCCATCTATCACTATGAGTTTGGGAAATTTGTATTCCTGGGGCGCGGCATCGAGCTACCACTGCCAATACTGCCTATGTTGAATGGAATCTATCCATTGCACTAGGCGTATACAAACTATCAAATACACTATCTTGACAATGTTTTAGCCTCTGTTTACTGTACATTCTTTTTTTCACGAACCTCAAGGTGAGGTTCGAGTCAGGGATTACTCTCATCTGGGGACCATGCCAACTGAGACCCTTGTTTTCAACTATTTCGATAACATATGCTGTTTAACAACCTCGAGATTTCTGAGACAGAAAACGACGAATCTATAAACCATTAAGTTTTTTTTTTAGAGTTTCCGGCTGCAATTCTGCAAGCTCCTTTCTTTCACAAAACGTTTCCAAAGTGAGATTTTATATATGACCAAGACAATTCGTGAAACGACGCTAATCGTTCTGAAGAAGAAAAGGGAACAAGAGGGAGTTACCAAGAAGGGAATTACAATAGTGTTACTTATGTGCTTCAACTAAAAGAAAGATCAAGTTTGTTTAGGCCTAAAATTTTCAGAGCACTTAACTACGGAGGAATTGGAACGATAATTGGGCATGAGATCACACACGGATTCGATGATAAAGGTGCTACCTTTTAAAATGCTGAGATTTACTTTGTGGTTTAGAGTACTCTTTATGTTTCCTTCGGTGAGAAGCCTGCCCTGATGCCCTGATTCATCTTCTTGGCGTGCAAATCAGCCTTATCTATGGGAGATTTTTTATTAGCTTTCATATTTCAGTCATATGGCCCAGACCGTGTTTCTTTAGTTTTGAGACTTTTGTGGTTCCTCCTTTCATCCTTGCAAATTCATTGTAAAAGTTTTACGCAAAGATAAATAGGGTAGGTATGTTAATTAACATTGTAGGCCTTGTCCAGTTTACAACTCCTGATCTTTACTGGTAATCTCAATGGATTTTAAAAGAGCAGAAAATTTTTCCACGTTTCTATAACAAAGTGTTCGGTACCAAAAACTGTGGTCTTACCTTTTTAACGGCAGGACGTCAATTTGATGCTGTCGGGAATCTGCGGGATTGGTGGAGCAGTGAAATGAAGAAGCAGTTCGAAAAGCGAGCACAATGTTTCATTGACCAGTATAGTAGGATAGAGGTAAGTCTGAATTAATGTATATTGTAGGGAAGACCCGCATGGTTCGCTCTGCAGATCTTAGGGAGCCAAAAAAGTTTGTTTAACCGAAATGAAAGCGCAGAATATACAGAATTAATAGACCTGTAGCAATCTCACATATTCGGCCTGTTTCATTGACCTAAGTTATAAGGGGCGAGTGTGGCGCAGTGGTTGGAGGCGCCACTGCAACACACACGTGCTATCGATCCCCGCGCCCATGGCCCACCAAGTCTTCCATCCCTCCGAGGTCGGCAAATTGGTACCGGACTTGTCTGGGAGGATAGTAGCACTGGCTCGATACGTCAATGGGCCATTGCGAGTCATTGTAAAGACCAGATATGCATTCAATCACCTCCAACGATACTTAGTAGGGTCGAATGCATGGCGCATCCCTCAGGGATTGATCAACACCGAGAACTTTATCCTTTTACCCTTTAAGTTATAAGAGGTGACGTTGGTTTCTACAAACAGCAGGGAACACAGGCATGAGGCTATATGATTGCCAGTTGATCTGCACCTCATAAATTTGAGTGCGAGGACAGGAGATTTTCTGAAAATTCATTATAGGTGCCCGGAACTGGCCTAAACGTTAACGGAAGGTTAACACAAGGAGAGAATATCGCGGATAATGGAGGAGTAAAACAAGCATTCAAGGTGACATGACAGTATTTTTCAAACCGACCGTCATTTAACCTCGGTAGTAGTTATGAAAAAAAGACAATCAAAAGAATAGAAACGTTAGCCGAATAAACAATTTATCAACCTCGTATTATCATAACAATCCAAGAATGTACTGATATACCAGTTTCGAAATGAGTCCCAAGTCTTGCTGTTTAACATCTGAAAGCTTCTTGTAATAGTACCCAGGATTCACTTTCTATTAACCTCGGCATTGGATTATGAATTCGTCGTTTTCTCTCTCAGCAATCACGAGGTTGTTAAACAGCATACGTTTGCTTCCATACAATAACACACATACAACACAATCGCACCTGACGTCTCGGCAGAATCGCCTTCTTCAGAGTCTGGAAGGGTACACTAATACGCAACTTACTACTAAGCCAAACACTTCAACAGCACAAACAGAAAGATGAAAATCTGCGCGATAATTACAAGATCTACGGCTTCCCGAAAAAACCCACCGCTTTTTTCCACCTGTCTTCCACTGAGGAAGAACAGCCGCTCAGAGTCGCATATGGTTGACAACTGCACCTCCCCACAGCAACGAACGATACGAAGGTAAGGGGCGAAATCATGCGTGATCTCAGGGCATTCCTCCCTGCTATTCACTGTGGGATTTTTGGCATTTTTGAAAGTTTCTTTTAGGAAGAAACAAGTTTACAATAAATATTTAGATTTGAAAAAGCAAGAAAGATGTCGTTCATTTTTGCAAAATTGCAAGTTTTTCTAGACATCCCCAAATTTAGAAAGATAGCAACATTTCCAGGCGTACAAAAAGTACCTGAGGAAATTTGGAACAGAAAGGAGCATTGAGGGACTGGAAGAATACAATAATGAGCAAATGTTTTTCATAGGCTTTGCCACGGTAATGTTACCTTATGTTTCTTCCTTATTATTCGTCTCTGTTTATACGACACTTCGTTTTGTCTATTCGTTCTTACATCATCGATAACTCAACCTCATCCTCAGCTTCCTCTCTGATCAGTGATGAAATACGGAACACTTACCCGAAACCAAAGTAGCATCGGAAGAATGTCGCAGTTATGGAATTCGGCTGCTGGAGGATAAAGTCAACCACCATAGATCTATGAGTCGTGATAAGCTATCACGCCATGAAGATTTTATTAGGAGAATTGTAGAATACCCAAAAACTACAACATAGTGTTAACCTTTTATTTTCTGCCTACTATAATTTTTCACGACAGGATATGATGTGACGCGGAGTAAGGGCCTCCGTGGAGCAGCGTGTAATGCGTGGGCCCTCGCAAAGGGAAATTGTGGTTCGATCTGGCTCGTGGTCCAGGTTTTGCGAATACCTCAGCATCGTTGTGATTGTAGCTACAACATATATGTGACCAACATCTAAAGGGAACAATTTTATCGGAAAGCAACGTCACAGAACATATCGCACAACTATCGAAAAAACTGAAACACAAACTGCCACTTCAAGCAGCTAACTTCTTAGAGGTCACAATAGCCGATTGATACCTTCGCCAGTATTCCACTATCACTTGCAAAGGAAAGTTTTGAAAGGCCAAACAGCTGCTGAAAATGGTTTTCACAAAATCCTTCGAATAATAACAATAATAAAAATAATAAGTGCTCAACAATAATGCCTGTAACGTTGCCTTGCTGGTATAAGAAATACTACATATCGAAGGTCTCTCTCATAGAGGGATTTCTCACCGGTTACACGCGACGCTGCGTGGCGAGACCCGAGGTGACGCATAGGAGGTTAACCGCGGACGAAAGGCGACCTTCGCTACCCTGAGACAAAGGCGAATCCAGGAGATAGACTTCCTCTTTCCGTTGCGCCGATTTTCCACATAAAGGATAAAACTCTCGGCGTTGATCAATCCCTGAGAGATGCTCTATGCATTTGAATTCATTAAGTATCCTTGGAGGTGATTGAATGCATATCTGGCCTTTACAATGACTCACAATGGCCCACTGACGTATGGAGCCAGTGTACTATCCTCCTAGACAGGTCCGGTACCAATTTGCCGACCCCAGAGGGATGAAAGGCTTGGTGAGCCATGGGCGCGGGGATCGACTCCACGTGTGTGTCACAGTGGCGCCTCCAACCACTGCGCCACACGCGCCCTTTTTGGCACGTACTTTCTGTATTTACGAGAACGTGTTCATGCATACGTGTGTGGGTTCGTTCTCGCTTATACGAATTTTATTCTACGAGTGAGTTCTGCCAAAAGCCTGCAATCAAGTAACAGAGAAGTTCATGTGATTAGTATGCGCCTGACGAATAAGCTCCAAGTCCACTCTGGGAGAGATTAGCAAACTACCCGTGAGTATATCTAGTCTCCACATTCAGAGTTCGGTGAGCTATATGTGGTTATCAAAAAGCTAAACACAATAAAATAAATGGGCCTCATTTTTCTAACCCCGAAGGGGCCCCCGATTGCCCAGCGTTGGCTAGGAAGACTAGGCATAGGCTGCTAAAATATTTGTTCATTTTAAGCAGCTTAAATCGCAATGAACTGAGGTAACGGTCAGTATCTACAACGCGTGAATACTTGGTCATGGAAACAAGAAAGATGAAGCAAAACGTCATCGAACTGGCTGAGACGAGGCGACGCCACCTATTCAGAACTGTCTATGACATCAGCGAAGAATTGTTTCTCGGAACATGCGACAAAAGTGGAGTCCGTGGCGTCGGCGTCTTTATAAACTAACAACCCGAAAATCGGACGTCTACGATTAAAAAGATGTGGATCAATACCGGCTTTGACAATCTTCATCGCCTGCCTACCACAAGACAACTGACACTAAGCTATGACGAAGAAGAAGTCGAAGCGTTCTACGTGAACTTGGAGAAGTGTTACAAGAAAGACCACACATTTTTCGAGATTATCATTGGAGATTTTAACGTTATAATTGAACCTAGAAAAACTTCTAAAAAAAAGCCGTGTCGGACCCACAGATTGGAATAGAACGAGCAGTGTGAGCGTCTGTCTGAGTTCATCATGACAATCAAAGCCAGCCATGGTAACTCGCAATTCGAGAAGCGCCACCCTCAACACTGGATGTGGGAGTGTCCCAGTGGAGGATACTACAACGAAATTGATCGCATCATAATAAATCGAAGGTTTTGCCCAACCGATGTCGCTGTTGTTCGAAAATTCTGCATGGGATCGGACCATCACCTTCGTGCAAAACTTCATTTCTCGCGGAAAGAAAAGGCCGCTAAATTCAAGAAACGAAATCGGAAAGCCACTATAAGCCGGGATTTATACAATTATTTTGTTGTGCATAGAGAAGGTGCTATTTTCGATGATATCGACGAGAATGCGATTGGCACATTCAATATCTTCACGTAGCGCTATGAAAGCTGATATTTCGAAAGTTATCGAGAGACGTCTGTCTCCAGAAACACTCGAGGTGATACGCCAGTGTGGATCGCACGAGCTGTAGGCAATCGTAAACTCACGTTCGAACTCGCAATAAAATGCAGATAGACGATAAAAGAAGACCTTAAAGAAAGAAGCGCAGCAGTTATGGTCGAAGCTGCACAGGCTGGGAAAAGCATCCGCAAAACCCACTGAAAGTATGCCAACTACAAAACCAACGTCATTGCACTCCGACGCCGAGACGGAATAGTTACAACTTCCAGAAAGGCTATGGAGAAAATCATTCATGAATACTATTCAGATCTAGTCGAGAGCCACGTCCTAGTTCGCATATGAAGTAAGGGGGGATCAATATGTCGTGCAACGGTTCTCCCGAAATCCGACATGATATTTCATCGGTGTGAAATCGAACGGCACCAGGTCCAGGCAGGATAAGATCTAAACACTTGAATGACCCTTCGCCAGTCCTCGTAAATACACTGGCTCGGTTCTTCACACGTTACCTATCTGAATGCAAGGTGCCTACTCAGTGGAAGACCAGCACGACCGTGTTATTGTTCAAGAAGAGTGACCTGCACGATATCGGCAACTATCGCCCAATCTGCTTACTGTCTGTCGTCTACAAACTTTTCACCCGAGTCATCCCAAACAGGATTGACAAAACACTTTACGAAGTGCAGCCGTGTGAGGAAGTAGGGTTTCGAAAAGGATTTGGTACAATAGACCACATCCACACGATGACAAGGATTTGGTACAATAGACCACATCCGCACGATAACAAGGCTCTTTGCAATATCGCGAGGGTACAAAAGACCGCTCTGTCTCACTTTCATCGATTTACAGAAGGCTTTTGATTCAATTGAGATATAAGCAGTCTTGGAAGCCCTTGATAGTCAACGAGTTCCTACTCAGTACATAAAGATTCTTGGTGAGCTATAGAAAAATTTCACAACCAAGATATCACCATTCTACAACGATATTAACATTGACGTCAAAAGAGGAGTTAGGCAAGGCGATACCATCTCCTCAAATTTATTTACCGCCGCTCTCCAGAACGCTATGCGAACATTGGAATGGGATAATATGGAAGTGAAAATCGATGGTCGGTAGTTACACCATCTTCACTTTGCTGATGACTTCGTCCTTATAACACCAAACATTATCCATGCAGAACGTATGCTTGACAACTTTGTAAAGCCGGTGGAAGGACTAGTCTTCGACTAAATCCTACAAAAACGATGTTCATGAGGAACGGATTGGTTTCGTATGCCCCATTCACGCTCAACGGAACGAATATCTCCGAGTGGTCTAGTTATGTCTATCTAGGTCGAGAAATTAACATGATGAACGATTTAGCTCCACAGCTGAGCAGAAGGAAGAGAGCGGCTTCGAGATCTCTCAAGAGCATCGAGGGTATGGTGAAATGAACAAAGAACACCCGACTCTGTGCCCACCTTTTCGACTTAACGGTACTTCCTGCCTTAACGCATGCGTCAGAAAACCTGGTCGATGCGTAAGCAGGGTGAAGGATCACTCAGCGTTATTGAACGCGTGGTGAAAAGTACGATGGTAGGAGTAACCCGAGTCACACAAGTAAGGGAGGGATCTGAAACTCCGGCATGCGTCAACGATCAAAAATCAAAGACGCTTTTCCATAGGCCAAAATGTGGAAGATATGGAGCCGATAGCACAGTGGTAGTGATGCCTTTCGTCACGAGCCTGGTGTTGGTTCGATTCCGCTCTGGTGCCAACCAAGCCTTCCATTCTTTCGAGGTCGGAAAAATGTTATCGGACTTGTCCTGGAAAAAGTGACTGCAATTCAAGTAAGAATGCTCTAGCCAGGCTATCTCAGGTCTCTAGTGAGAGTCGACTCTACTACCGTTCAACGTCATTCATGATGAAATGAAAATCGTCAAACAACAACAGAAGCCACGTAAAATGGGATGATCTTCATAGGCAATGGATTAAAGGAAACGCAACGAATGTGAGAAGTGCTACGATTCGCATAGCAGACGTGAATACGAGTAATATAAAATAAAAATAAAAAATAAAAACATCAAAGATTAGATGGACTGGACACGTAATTCATATGAACAACAACCAATGGACAAGAGCCGTTAATGACTGAATTTCTCGGTATGTCAAACGTATTGCAAGGAGACCGCCGACCCGATGGTCAGAGTTCTTCACGAAAAGCCTAGAAGAAAGGTATGATGCTTAGCGAGTCCCAAAAACAGGCAAAACCTGTTAGGATACTCTTGCATGCGATAGAGAAAAATGGAAGATTTGCTGTCTCCCGCTCAAATTACTCGATGACCAACCAGTTGACAGGTGATACGGATGAGGTGATATCCCGAAGGTAAGATGTGGTGGTTCGAGTAGTGTTTTTTCTATCGCTAAACTTTACTACAAATATGGTGTGATCGCTTGTAGTTAAAAATGAATAATTTACACGGCATCCGAACTATTAGCTATCGTGGTTGCGAGGTGTTTCTGGGTGTGGGGCTGAGACGTACAACAGGGTATTCATCATCCGGCAGGGTTTCTCAAGCTGATAAGGAGTCCAGCATAACCATCAGAGAGCCTAGGTAAGAGCAAATAAACACAAGGATTTCACCATTGTCCTAGTATCAAACTTGTCGCATTGTGGCAAATCTTCCTCTGACCCACAAGGTAGAGACTGCCTGTGGTGGAGACAACATAGGATGGAATTTGGCCAGGTGACCTTGGAACTCCAGGAAACCACAATGGCTGAACCAGCAAAATTCCAGAAAGTGGAGAACATGCTGGGGTCTGCATAACCAGTGAGGACGGACCGTCGAAGTACCCCAGTAAGTAAGCAATTTGCACGAACTTTTGAGCGGCCTAATAAAATAATAGTAATTATGTGTTCTCAGATATCCCTGAGTACATCGTTGTTCAGTGAGATGCAGTTCCTACGCGGGAGTAACACTTTCTAAATACAGCAAGCGTACCAATTTAGTAACCGGATTGATTTATAGGCATGGTGTGGACATTCGACAACGGACTCATTGATCAATCTTATTCTCACCGATCCTCACGCTCCTCAGAGATATCGGTACACGCTTTTCCTAATTATGTTCAAATTCCAAATAAACCCTATTTCGATTCGATTGCTTCAATCCGACTGTATTGTCTTGCTCTGTCACATCGCGAGAGCCTCCACTATGCAAGTCACAGGGCAGGTGCAGACTGCACCTTTAGATTTAAAAGCATTAGGTGAAGATAGTCAGAAGGTTCCGGTTATAAATTGTTTTTAAATGTTTCAACATGATAATGTAAGTTGGAATTTCTTCAGTGTAAATCAAGTACTGGCTAATCAACCAGAATTTGCTACCGCATTTAAATGTGCTGTCGGTACACCAATGAATCCGAGGGAACGATGTGCCGTCTGGTAACGAAGACGACGGGATATTAGCCACTGAGTAGAATAATCATCTTATATTACCTTGTCTTTATGTATTTGTACGCTTCTTTTGTCTTGTGAGTACAAATTTACATCGTGTACCCTTACCATAAATTAACGTATCCGCCAAATGTACTTAATATTGCACGTATTGCACGCTATTTTAAGCAGTTAAATATGGGGCAAAACGAGACATTGTGAACTGGTTGTAGTATGACGAGCTTGACATATAACGTTATATATTTGAATAATCTGCCACTATCCTTTTTCTTCGTGCGTACATAACGTGTATGTGTAATATGTAATGTATATAAAAAGCTCCAAACCTATCAGCGTTGATCAATTCTTGAGGGATGAGCCACGCACTCGAGTTCATAAAGCATCGATTGGAGGTGATTGAATGCATATCTGGCTTTACGATGACTCGCGGTGGCCTGCTGATGAAACAAGCTAGTGCTGCTACCCACTTAGACAAGTCTGATACAAATTTGCCGACCCCGGAGAGACGGAGGGCTTGGTGGGCTACGACGCCGTGGTCGATCGCATGTGTGTGTTGCAGGGCTCCTCCGAACACTGCGCCACACTTATCTTTATTGAACGTTGACCTGTCATAAGCAGTGTATCTGGACCAGAAGATAGAGTTACCTAGTTTTCAACCCTAATACTTACCCAGTTGTTGAAGACACATTCAAGCCCATCTTACGAACACTCAGGTGTTCATGAATGTCAATGCAGCGACCTTTTTAACAGCGCAAGCCTGATGCAATATTTCGGCGTTTCTTCCCTTTATACAAATGAGTTGAACGGCTCCGTTATGCAAGCCATCCTCGAACTCCTTATGCAAGAAGAAAGAGCATGTGTGGTCTCTCGATTCAAAAGCTTATGGCCTGCTTAAGGAAGTGCTTAACTTGCTCAATCTTTAGGTGGCACTGGAAGTATTATTCCGCACAAATGAGAGCTAGCAGTAGAACGGCCACAAGCACCAAGCCTTTCCATGGCATTCGTGTCCAAGGTGAAAGTACCAATAATCGTTCTCCAGTGGTTACTCTACTGTTGATATGTTGATGATTGGTTTATCATTTGATCCACACAAGAAGAGATGGATAAACGTTTCGTGTTTTTGGATAAACATTAAAAGTATCCTAAGTTTACCAGGAAAAAACCGAAAAAAAATGGCTTCCATTTCTGAACTCGTGTAGAATTATCAATGAAATGGTATATACTGATTAGTCAAACGATGTTAACGGAAAGTCGGTTTCTGAAATATTTACGTTCTGCGCTAGTTTGTAATGATAGCAGCTGCTACTGGATGGATTATTTGGATGAAAACAAAGGATTATGAACGGGACACTCAACCGTCCTGTATAAAAGAGCAGTGCCGATGAGGTCACTTCACTCGAGCGGTGATAATTGCACTAGGTTCTATTTGATGCGATCATGAAGACCCGCATCGGAAGAAGAAACAGCACTAAGTAACCGACTCGGATTAATCCAGTTCTGTGGAAGGCGAAGATGCCGAAGCGTTAGCTAAATAAGGTTCTTTATCCAGGTCTTGTTTGCTTATCAGTGAACACATTGAACACTGAACAGGGAACGAATACACGTTGGTTAGTCGTACCGAAGTTAAAGTAGCGTAGGTTTTTGAAGTACTAACTGTACTAACTTTGCCGTCATGAATTTTACAATCATTGACATTAATAGGTTTAAAGGCTACCCTTTTGGTTAAATATTTTCAGTTTTTTCTAAGGGTTAATTTACAGCGATTCCACGCTAGCTGAAATGGTAGACTCAAAAGCGAGAAAATGGCGTCGTTTCACTTTACGAGATCAAACTCGGTCGTAGTGCCGCGAAAGGAACAAATCGAAGCGCTGGGCCGCCATGTTCAGAATTCCGATAATTCAGATGAGGTGGATAACCGCCGTTATTTTAGATGATGTCTGCCGACCAGTACCGATTTATATCGAAAGGAATAGAATATGACCTTTGTGAAGTAACATTTTTGCACTGCACTAACAGTAACAGGAAGCAGCACTGTTGACGGTGAACCAAGACGGTAATTTCTTGACCATTCAAGACGAACTGTTTGCATAATGACATTTTATCTCTAAGAGACTCCAGAAACGTCAGTAATTTCAGTAGGAAAGATAACGTGATATACTGGTCCATTACACACGGTGAAACGGTTCACAGGAAAAAAAAATTATAGATAGGTGAACGTTTCTAGAAGCTTTTGAACAAGGAATTTTTCGGAGCGACTGACGATTTTTATTAGTCGGTTTCTCTGTAATTCCAAAGTTATAAATCGTATCGGAATACTGGATAATTCGTGCACTGTCTCCTCAAAGCAAAGTCTAAGAATCCATGAATTCAAAAAGTAGCATGAAATTATAACAAATGAGGAATTGTATATGATAGCTGACTCTTGGGACGGTACTTAACCAACAAAGTATAGAGCAGTGCTTAGATGTGCTCTGCTATGGACATGATCTTTGCTTCGTTTCAAGATCTGTCACTGTATAGGTTTATGCATTCAATATACGATGTTTAAGTGGTGTCAAATGCTTGGCGTACAAGGAATGAGTCAATACAGAATATCTTGTCCTCAATTCAGAATAGAAAATAAGAACGGGCTTCAAATGAAACTAAAGCAGGATTATCAGCCATCAAAATCTCACTATATTAAGGAGAATCAGTAACAATAAGTGGTCGCTAGCAAAGAGTTCTTATGTGAGAGTCCACGCAAGTCCATTCAAATTGATCAACAGTATGGTAGGAGTTACCAAGGTTATCAACATACCTCAAGCCAACATTGAATACATCTTAAGTTTGAGTTCAGCGAGTCCGACTTCTCGAAATAATTCTCCTTTTCTATAATGAGTATTGAAATACGGTAGGGCATTCAGAGGCTTTTGTTAAAATCATGTCGTTGTTCTTTCTCGGCATGAGCACACATCTCAAAAGGAGTAGAAATGAAGTTGTTGAAGGATTCGAAATTTTGCTCGCACATGTTTCCTATAAAGGCGCTTGTGGCACAGTTGTCAGAGGCGCCCTGCAACACACACGTGGAATCGATCCCCGCTCCCATGACCCACCAAGCCCTCCATTCCTCCAGGGTCGGAAAATTGGCGCCAGACTTGTCTAGGAAAATAGCAACACCGGCTCTATATATCGGTAGGATTCGATCACCTACGACGATATTTAATGAAGTGGAATGCACGCCGCATCCTGCAGGGATTGATCAATGCCGAGAGCTCTATCCTTTATCTTCACCTTTATGTTTCCCATCTTAAGATTAATGAGACATGATTCTCAGTAGATATGAAGTAAACGCCTTTCTGACTTGTGACGTGGTGGCGGAAAAACACGTTTTTATTTGTTTTTTTTTAATCTAACAATTTCTCGAATCTAACACTCAACCATCCAACTATTTCATGAAGCTCTTCATTTTATCATCGTCAGAGAGAGACTTCTGGTTGCAAGGTTTTTCACACTGTCCGCTGGGGCATTCTTTGACCAGACACCTTATGTTACACCTTTATGCTAGATAATAGGAAGCTAGCTGCATTGAAGATCGAGGAAAGATAGAAACCGCACACTTAAAGGACCTACTAATTAGAGTACAAATTGGTTTCCACTAAAGGTTTTGAGAGAAAGTTTCATGTTTCCTTTTATGTTTATAATAAAGCATTCTGCATATCTGCATTGGCTTATGCGAGGATGGAACCACCACGGCAAACCATTGGCAATGATAAATGACGGACTACTTGCGAACTACGACTGGCTCAACATGTGTCACGCACGTGACTCACACGTGAACACTGCACCGATGCCCGGTGTTTGCCTACTTGATGTGCGAACAAAGAGCAGCGTTTCGCAGCTATCAGTCCAAAGTCACTGCTGAAATTGATAAACGTTGCTTGGCTTAACGAATTATTACAGAAAAGAGTTTAAATTGGAGTAGAAGAGAGCCTGCTTGTATGTTTCGTGTTAAACAACACTTTTGAATCAAAGCGAAATGCTACGTGCCATGAGAATAATAATAAAAAAAGGATAAAGCTCTCGGTGTTGATCAATCCCTGAGGGATGCGCCATGCATTCGACTCCATTAAGCATCGTTTGGAGGTGATTGAATGTATATCTTGCCCTCACAATGAGTCGCGGTGGCCCACAGATGTATCGAGCCAATGCTGCTATCCTTCCAGACAGTCTGGTACCAATTTGCCGACCCAGAGAGATGGAAGGCTTGGTGGGCCATGAGTACGGGAATCGATTCCACGTGTGTGTTGCAGGGCGCCTCCGACCACTGCTCCACATACGTGCCCTTGTTGCAATAAGAATAAGGAGAATATTTTAGTTACAAAGCATGATTTAAGCGCATGATTTTGGAACTGCTTACCTGGACATCCAAGTGATCCATCTTCTTAGGTGGCGTATGCACGTGTATTCCCGACAATCTATCGCCTCTTCTCTATGGAACGACAAGTACAAACTGATATGGTGTTCTCTGGAATCGTGAGGAAGCTGTGCTAGGAAGTTTGAAGATTACAACACTCAGTCAGTAGCCCTTATGCAACATTGTGTATCAGAGAGAAGCTAGTTCCTTTGCCACCAAGATTTTTCCAGGACGGCAGCGGTCTTTGGCAGATTTCTGGGATTAATGGACTTATCAATGCAGCAAACAAACCGCGTCCTCTCAAATCTAATTATGCTTTATTGAAGTTCTTGAACTAAATATATGCTTTATCTTTGTCGAATTGGATCAATGGTATCGCTGGAGCGACACCTCGTCCACACGCCATAGTTGTGGTCCCAGATGATCCGCGCCATCTCATTACGAACTGACGTGCACTTCGTCGAATGCTCATCTCGTAGCCATTTCAATTAACGTCTCTTCGTCTTTCTCGAACATACGTGGTCGAAAAATTCGTAAAGCAAACACAATAAATATGAACCAATTATATTGCGTACATAGTTGTTAGTGAAAGTTACCAT